GTCTCCTTCATACGTTTCCTTTGTTCACAAAGAATGCGAGCCAATTTTCCTGGAAAATTATCCTTCTTAAGGAAAACGTGCTAGTGTTAGAGCGCTTCATGGTCGAGTGACGCAAAACCAAAACCAAACTGATCACAACAGCCAATCAGATGAAAGGAGACCATAACGAACTGCCAATGTGATCTCAGCGAGCAAACAGCCTGAAGCGCGGGAAAAAATGAGGATACAAGTCAAGATTGATTTCCTTTTGATTCTGATTGGTTGAGAAAGTGGCACGAGTTTTCCTGAACCAGTCACATGGTGAGGTAAAGCGAAGCCAAAGCAATCCGGATTTCTTTCGACATTCAATTGAAAATTGCCCTGATACGAATCAAAATCGATTTTTATCTCTTATCAAACCTCTGCTACGAATCAAAATCGATTTTTATTTGTTATCTCTACTCCGATACGAAACAAAATCGATTTTTATCTGTTATCACAGCACGTATAAGCGGTTGCCTATGGTGTGATAGGCGGCTGTGCCTATGCGCACAATAAACAGACGGCGGTGAGAGGTCTTATGGCCAGCGGTAGACAGTATGTAACCAGCCTTGATTTAAATTTGTGCATTCCTAGATAAACACCTTCTGGGAGATGTTTGCAGACTTGGGAACAGCCTCCATTTTCTTCATGACAACCAGTAAGCACACACCCTACTCCCTCGTCGCTACCATCGGGACAGTCTACTCGCCCATCACAAAACTTGTTCTCTTCCAAACACACGGACGAATTGAAACATTGCCTCTGAAAAGGGCTGCACGTGATTTGAGTCACAGCTGGCGGAAAAACGATAAATGGAAAATTGAAATAAAGCAAGAATTATCGTTACCAATAACGTTAACACTGTTATTATTGCTATAAGAAAAATTATATTGTTATCAGCATCATAATTGATTATTATCACTGTATTCACTAAAAGGACGATAAACCGCTGGCCTGCATCTTTTCTGTGCTGATTTATAGCAGGGAATGACAGGCCCCCATTTAAACCAGTTTAAAGCTTGATTACACCAATTTTGAAATTGTGGTGGTCCCTGTAATCTAATTGGCTCTAATTGGTGCTATTTATTCACGAATCGCACCATTTTTTGCTTTAAATCGCATCTTTTTCCCAGCCAATGAGGAGGCTACACCAACAAAAAACAACCGATCAGATTTCAAAGCTTGTTTAAAGTAACCAACCAAATTGCAGGAAAATGAAAGACAAAGAGTATCATGTGGCAAATTTTGAAACTTTTGTTTCCCCCTCAAAAAAAAAAGGATGAATGTAATTTCAAACCGGCTCAGCACTGCATCGATAAAATATTTGAACTGAGCAAGCCCGTTATTTGAGCAATTTCAAAATGGATATAATAAAAATGGTAATTGACCTCCTGTCGTGCAATTTGGTCTGAAACCATACTTGTGATTTCAAATCACGCGTACGATTCCAGCCCAAACTGCACTCCACTCAGTTCAATTACCATTATTAACTGGGCCACCCTGTCTAAATATCGAAAATGAATAAAAACATTTTGACTTCAACCACTTCTCGGATGAAACACTCTTCCTCGTGTTTGATATATTACCTAAAGATACATACGGGAACATGAAATCAATTTTCAAATTAACTCACAGCAGTTACGCTCATCAGTCATATCACCACAATCGTTGTCCCCATCACAGACCCAGTCCCTCGTAACACATCGCTGATTGTCGCAGGTCAACTCGTCCGGAGCACAAGTTGATAATGAGCAGTTTGAGAGTTCATCTGACTCGTCTCCACAATCATCGTCATCATCACACACATATCGCTTTGGGATGCATTGGGAGTTATTGCACAAGAACTTGTCTACACCACAGCCGTTGGGTTCCACGGAGGCTACAAGGAAACGGACACAGGTTCAGAGATAGTGAGTGGCTTTACTAAGAGAGATAGATGTCAACTTTCGATGATAATAAACCGCTGCGCACAATCAAGTGCATGCGCGAAATGCAAAGACACCAGAATAAAACCAATTTAGAGAATTTTTCAAGCACTTACGGCATCCTGCCTCATCAGTTCCATCTTGGCAATCTTCAGCTCCGTCGCATCGCCAGCTTCCAGTGACGCACTGGCCATTCAAGCAACGAAATTCATCCTGCGTGCACTGCCGAGGAGGGCAACTCTGTTCATCCGCGTTATCACCGCAGTCGTCGTCACCGTCGCATCGCCAATCGGAGGGCAAACATTCTCCAGACGGGCAGGAAAAGTCCTGCTCCTGACAACTTTGGTTCTCTGCATGACATAAAACGATGAGAGTCATTGAAAGAAATATCGTCTTCAAATATGCTTCTGTTAAACCAGGTTTAACAGAATGAAGACAAGAACCAGAAAATGGAAATAATGAATTTTCCATTGCGTTCCAGTAATTACAAACTTGTATTTTCAAAGTGCCAAAATTCAGTTGTAAGTCGACAAAAATCATTTTAATTAAACTGCTTCTAAGAGGAGACAATTTTCGATCATGTTTTTTTTGTACTGAGGCGTGAGTAGTCCAGTGGTCAGTGTGCTGGACTCTGGGTCCGACGGCCCGGGTTCAAGTCCTGGCTGGGGCATGACGTTGTGTCCTTAAGCAAGACGCTTCACCCACATTGCTTCGTCTTCTCGGATAGGACGTAAAACCGTAGGCCCCGTCTCCTGCAGGGTTGGGGTAGGAGACGTTAATTTCCCACGCACGAGATTACTGTGTGGTGGATGTCCTCCCCTGGGGTGGGATGGGTGGAAGAGAGAAGAGGCGCATCTGAATATATTCATATAGATATTTGCGCCGAATAAGTATTTATATTATTATTATTATTACTGTGTGTAAGATTTGGTGCGACGGGGTTATCAAATGTAGGGCGGACTTGGGTCACTTACCACATTTCAGTTCGTCCGAACCATCAACACAATCATCAAACCCATCACATCTCCAACTGATAGGAACGCATTTACCATCGCTACAGCGGAATTGCACCGCGGTGCAGGCGGACAGTGAACAGTTAGACTCGTCCGAGCGATCTCCGGTTCCACAGTCGTTGTCACCATCGCAATACCAGTTTTCAGGGATGCATTTACCGCTTTTCAAGCAGCGGAATTGGTTTTCCTTGCAAGATACACCAGCTAAAATCAAAGAAAGAAAATAACAAAACAAAGAAACAGAAGTATTTGAGAAGCTCTTCGACAGGGTTCCTGGGGTAATTTTCTTAAAAGTCGCTATCCGGCGACCTAAACCATGAAATTATTGGCACAAATAAAACTTTAGTCGCTAGGAAAGTCTGTCTAGGGATTATTTTTTCAAAACATTCACTGCACCTCTCACGGCTGAACACTAAGACTACCGAAGAGAAAGAAGCATAATGTCTGTATAACAGAAAATGAGGTATTAGCAGTATTGTATACAAATGTTTCTCTATTTATTGATAAGACTACTTGACTTGGAGCCCCCACATTACACCAAAACCAAAGGAATCACGCGGCTAACGAAAGGAAAGAAAAATACCTTTGAGAGTCAATGAGAAGTCAAGGTAAAAACAAGCAACGCGAGCGACCATGTCGTGATTGGTTTTAAATTTTGATCTGATTGATCAAGAGAGTTGCGCAAGATAATACTAAGAAAATGGAGGCTATTCCCAAGTCTGCAAGCATCTTCCAGAAGGTGTGTATCTAGGGATGCACGAGTTCTTGGTACCGCTAAATATCATGACTTCAGTATCAAATCTAGTTGCCGAAGTTTCCTTCTCCTTGTCACACGAGCAAAATGTTCACATAAAAAAAAAAGTGCCCTGTTTGGCTAGCGTGTGAATAGATGTCACTTCTGCAATTAATCCTATCAAAGCTGAATGTCATAAAACCTTGAGACTTGACCGCTCTTAAACTTAATTTGAATCAAACTTACGACAATCTGCAAATTGCGACTCATCTGAGTGATCCAGACAGTCAAATTCTCCATCGCATTTCCAGTTTTTGGGAATACAGGCCCCATCGTGACATGCAAATTGATTTGCTGGACAGTGAGGTGTAGGGCTGACAGATTCATTGACTGAATTTCAAAAAGATTAAAAAATAGCGTCAGGCACAAGTTATAAGAACAATTACTTTCACACAAGTAAATTACGAACATACAAGATAATGTGTCATATCAACTGAGTCGATAATGTAAATGAATCACTGTAAAAAACTTCTAAAGCTGACATTAGCATTGAATGTTAGCCCATTCCCTTTACCGCTCGAATTACCAAACTCTTCACGGTGGCCGATCTAAATTATAAACTCAGTTGATAAGCCAAATTATCTTGTTGTACCACCACCGACGCAGCACCTCAGTTTCCTTAAAAAGTTACCCCCCTTACTCTCCGACAAGTCAATTAGGACCTTGGCCTCCTTAGTAGATGTCAGACGTATCAAATGAAAATAAATCAGTTTAAAATTGGACTATAATGAATAAGGTTCTGGAATCGGACTGATTTAATCACAGTTCGCGGTGTTCTTTTTGGTGCTGTTTAGCTTGTTTCTGTCTTGCAGTTCCCTGTTTCGACAATGATGGTCACATTAAAAAGTCTCTGTCCAGTTTTCTGAAGACAACACATGCATTTAAATCTATTTAATTCGTTTAAGCTTATGTTTCCAAAGGAATGCATTTTGTTGTCAACTGGCAAGAATGCCCCTTCGACAGAAAATTTTCCCTAGATTCAAGGAGAGACCTCTCCTACCAACCTATCATGTTATTTTGTACTCTACTGAAGGGAAATGCTGACGGCACTCGATAAAGCCACTTTATTCCGGTTACTTTCAAACTTTACAACACTCTCAAATCACTAGCAGATGTGAATGACTTATAACTTTTCCTCACAAGTTAACTACATCCTCCGGTAAAACAAGAGCGAGAATAAACGCACTTATCAGTAGCTGAGTGTTATTGTGATTGAACACTGAATTCTCTTCACTAACATACAAAAAAATTGACTTAAGCTACAGAGGAGAATCATCATCCAGATCATGGGAACGAAATGGTTTAATCATCTGTGTTTGTCTTGCTTGATATCGTTTTTAGTTTGTTTGTTTGTTTGTTTGTTTGTTTGTTTGTTTGTTTGCTCTCTGCTCCACTTACCAATACATGTCTTGTTACTGCCATACTCCAACTGCATACCATAAGGACAGGCACACGTGTAACCTCCTGGACGCAACAGACATAAGTGGCTACAACCAGAAGAGCCATTGCTACAGGGTCTACTGCCTGTGAAAAGAAAAAAACCAAAATGTATAACACTTATCATAGAATAAAAATTTTAATACGCAAACTGGCCTACAGTGCACAGTGCAAAGACATGAAGCAAATTAGACTGAGAAATCCCTAAAGACCATCCATTTTACTAATGTAACATCTTAAAATATTAATCCCTTTTAGTACAGCACCATTATAACATTCCTCTAGTTGTTCAGAGGGCAGATAACGCTATCCGACAGATAAATCGCTATCCAAAGGATAAGTGAAGACAAAACTTACTGGGCTTTCCACCGGATAGAGATTTATGTAGTGTATAGCGTTATTTACCCTTTGAGCAACCAGGGCCTTGCCGACTTTCACTCTAGAATCATTCTTAATCTGGACTTGGATTGAAATTCTTTATCTGCTGTTCTGAAAATGCGCGTTAGGCAGTGTTAAATATTGAGTAACCAAGGGATGGTTCGAAATGAGACGGATCACATCAGATTTAAAGAACAACACAACAGAAACATTTTTTACAAAATGACAGCTCTCCCAGTCTGGCTGCCTTTTAATGTGTATGCACGTAAGACAGCCGCTGGCCAAACACATTACAGGTAGAATTCAAATTTCCCACCTGTTTGTCTCTTGGAGTCATAAACTCTAATTTCCATCACACCCTCCAAGCCTGATCTTAGTACCACCTCAGAAGATGGATCAGTGATCTTTGCTCTTAGTAGTTCGTGCCTGGTCCAATCAGTCCAGTAGACGAATCCATTGTGAACGTCAAGACCAAACGGGTGACCTGTGGTCAGAAGTATCATCTTACGATCAGAGCCATCCAGATTCACGCTTTCAATGGCGGAGGTCATTTCATCTGACCAGTAGAGTTTCCTTGAGGCGTAGTCGATGCTGAGGCCATTTGGCCGGGCCAAACCCCCTCCTTGTACAAAGATTTGACGTCCTGTGCCGTCCATGTTGGCAGCTTCTATTCTGGCTGGAGTAATCCAAGCACTCCAATACATTCGCCTGGTTTTACAATCAAGCAGCACATCTTAATGAAAATCATATAAGAGAAATAGCTCCCAAAGCCAGTTAAGGACTAAAACCTCATCATTTTTTAATTGTTTGACCCCTAGTAGTGTTAGTTATGACAATTCTCTTTATAATTTTAATACACGATCACGCACTTAGAGTAGTGTTCTCCCTTATTTTAAACATGATAGGTAAAATAGATTTTCAAACCGGTAAAGCAATCCTTTTACATGTTGAATTTTCAAGAATTCCAAGCAATTTTAAACGGTAATAAGAGGTACTACAGGCGGTAAATGTTACCGGTTACTGCCTGAAAAGGAGAACATTGTGAGAGTCTGACCCTTTGATCCCTAAGAGTGACTAGTATCTAATTTCTCCACATAATATCACCCCTGAATCTTATATTAACGTCATGAGAATAGAGGAAATGATCACCAACTTATGAAGTTCTTGATTGTTAAACAAATTCTCCTTGTCAGCACCTTTGAACAATATGGAGAACAATATGGAGAATATGGATACTGATAGCAGAGTGTAAAGGGTTAAGAGAGGTAAATAGATCACTCAAGCAGCACATCTTACTAAACATCATTTAAGATAGCTAGCTCTGGTTGAGTATGACAATTCTCCTTACAATTTCAGTACACTACGATGCACTTAGACCTAACCCTTTACACCATAAAATTAGTATTCATATTCTCCACACTGATCTCTCTACATGTTCTCTAGTACTGACAAAGAAAAACTTATTGGACAGCCAGGAGGTTCCTAAATTGGTGATCATTCCTTTCATTCTCGTCATCTCTACACCTGATTCAAAGCTGACATTGTAAGGGGGAATTGGAGTCTATTCACTCTTATGGGTTTAAGGGCAAAACATAAATGAGAAAACTCTCAAGCTAAGAATGTTCTTTAAAAGTAATATCAGTGAACAAATTATCAACTAGTCAACATAAAAATGAATAGCAATTGGCTTCCAGATCCTGGAAATAAAAGAATTTAACTTACCCGTCCACAGGATTTACCACGATAGCTGAAGGTCTTGCCACATCTTCATGAAATAACACTTTCTTAAAAGATCCATCTAATTTCGCTACTGCCACCTCACGTTTGTCTGCGTCTGTCCAATACAAGTTTCGACCAAGCCAATCCACTGCAATACCATTCACAGATCTCACCGATTTGACCAAAACTTCCACCTTTCTGTCAAAACGACCAACTCTGCTGATGTTGTCCCGTTCATTGTCTGAGAAGTATATCATTTGCTCTTTGACATCATAGTCAATACCTACAGCATTTCCGAGCCCAGACAGAGGAAGAATTGCATCGCCAGATGAATTCACCTCTTTGGGTATACCAGCAATTTCTGTATTACGGGCGAAGATCAGGAAGGTCTCCATCTTCTTGCACGATTTTCCATCATCCGTTAACTGATATCCTGTTTTACACTTGCATATACAATCTCTGTGTGGAACTGGGGATATGAGACAAAGGTGTTCGCAATTGCACTTTCTATTTTCACACGGATTTGCAGCAGCTGGCTGCCTGGCGCTGTGATACACATGAACATCCATTGGCTGCCCAAGGTTTGCCAAGAGAACTGTACTATGATTACCAAAGAACTTCTCCACTTTCACAACTGCATGCCTTGTCCAGTCTGAGAAGTACAAGTCATTTCGAAACACGGTGATGGCAAATGGATGCACAACTCTTGGATAGCCAAGAACCCTTCTCCTGTTTTTACCGTCATAACTCATGGCTCCAATATAGTCGAGGTGTGCGTCTCCCCAGTAAATTTGACGCGTGGGGTAATCCAAGGTCAGCGCATTGGGCCAATAAACAGCTGTGTTGGCAATAGTCTTGCGATTTGTTCCATCCATTCCAGCCCGCTCTATCACGTGTTTTCCCCAGTCAGTCCAGAACAGGTAGCTAAAAGAGAGAATTTCTAAAATAAGTTGAAATCCATCTTCATATCATCTTCCAGTCACGTCTTAGGGAGGATTACCTTTCATTGCACTAATGATATTCTCTATAACTAGTTAACTAGTTTTATCTTAAAACATTATTGTCCATGAATGTAACAGCACCTTAGGTTTGATCATTGAAGATTATTAACTACGATTACAATTCTTTGTTTTTGCGTGTGACGTTTACATAGTTCGTGTTTATTTTGGCCATACTGTACCTCCGCTATAACTTAATCCAGCTCCCTGTCAATTATAGCTGCGTAGTTATTCCAGGATGCTAGTACCCTTTAATCATCATAATAATACTAATTAATTATTATTTTCTGTTAAATACATTACTAAAACTTGATAAAGGGTACATAAAGGGAACTGTTCTGGTTGTTCCCGAAGAGAAATGTTAAGGAAAAAAAACATAAAAAACATGCCTACGTACAACTCACCCATCCCTAGGGTCAACCGCAATGCCTCTTGGGCTTGCAAGATCAGTAGTTATAAGCGATAACAGGAAACTCCCGTTCAATCTACAGACAAAGATCCTTTTAGCAGAGCTATCGACAAAGTACAAATTCTTTGCCACCCAATCCACAGCAATCCCATCTGACACAGCTAACCCATCTTTTGCCACAGCTTCTACCTAAAAAAAAGATAACAAAATGAAGTCTAAGGTTAACGACCTGCACTGAGATCTTTGACAAACTCCTCTCATTATCTTTAAAAGGTGCTTTTCAGAAAAAGGATCCTGTTCTCGGACCACACTTAAAGGAGAGGCAGTGATGGAACTCGAAACCCCGAAACATGAACAAAAATCTGTCATTTTAAGCGCAGTCGCTCATAAAGTATGCAGTTACAGGGCGTGAAATTAACTTTTTTTCTGATAGCCACTTGGCTCCTAAATTCTTCAAAGTGGTAGCCATTTAAAAAAAAATTGGTCGCCATTTTCAAAGACAAACAAAATCTTTCTTTACGCTGTCAGCGTTCAAGATAGACCCTCCAAAATTAAGTTAGGGAAAAGATCTTTAACGTGCTACAAAGTGGACACTTGGATGGATGATATACAACTTTCAGGCTCATCTAAATCCAAGATGGCGTCTAGTTATCGATCGAGATGCATGTGCTACGTTTTAGAAACAAACTTAACGAGGAAGTTTGCCGCGGATTTATCTTTGCAAATTTTTTTAATTCACTATATCTCTTGGTAAGGTTATGATGAAACGTTCTAGTCGCCAATTTGGCGACTAACTTTCAGGATTTGGTCGCCAAAGTGAAAAATTTAGTCGCATTGGCGCCTGTATTAGGCGCAATTTCACGCCCTGAGTTAGGATTGAGGAAAGAGAAAGCAATTAAGCCCTTATTACTAGCGCTGAGGCATGCGCGTTTCTTCGCCCGCGATAAAGTTTGAGACCGAGCTGATGAGAGGTCTGCGAGGGGTCTGGCACTAACAATGAGTGCCAGATCCCCCGCAGACCTTTCGAAGGCTGGTCTCAAACTTTCTTGCGGGCTTAGAGACACGCGTGCCACGGCACTAGAAATGAAAACCTGCTCGCATATGGAAACACTGAAAATAAAATAAAAATGAAATCTCAATCCATCGCATGGTCATATTACCTCTCCAAGGCGTCCACCATCTCGATGAAACACAATATTTGCCCTGTAAATAGCATTATCTTTTACATCTGACCAGTAAAGTTTTCCATCCTCGACGTCAAAATCAATGGCCACTGTTCGGCTTGAGTTTGAGAAAACGTCACCGTAATTTCTTCCATTCAAACTAACTTGGCGAATGTTTTTCCTGTTCGCTAACAATAACCATGCCTCTTCTTCACCTGAAAAAAAGGAACAAGCTTTGAAAAAATTATACATTATTACCACAGTCCATCTTATGGCCTGTGGAACAGGCGCCATTTAATTAGTTTTACAGAGGAGCAGAAGCAAGTAGGAGGCGAACACGAGAAAAGCTCAAGAAGAGTGCAAGGAATGTGCGAGGGGTGAGTTACGCACAACTAAATTAAGACTCTACGTGACTCTGCTTTTACGCTCTTCGCACACTCACCTCGCATTTACATTGACTGATTTCAGCCCTTAGCACCCTAACATCAGTATCCATATTCCCCGTACTGTTCTCTATACATTTCCTTTGATACTGACAAGGAGAATTTGTTTATCAATCAAAGCATCTTAAGTTGACGATCGTTTCCTTTTATTCTCCTGATCCTAATTACTGATTCAGCAGCATTAATACGAGGAGCAATTGGATGTCAGTCACCCTGTGAATTTATCGTTTCGTGAAACAGATCAAGTCGCACAGATAGATAGTGTATGGCAAAGAGGGTGGCTTTGCATTTTAACAAGTAAAAGTCTAAAAATTAGAGAGAGAAAATTTACCTTTTGGACGACAGGTTCGTGGTGGTTCATAAACGTAACCATCCAGGCAGGAGCACTTGTAAGACCCCTCAGTGTTGATGCATTCATGATCACAAATTCCAAGAATAAAACACTCATTGATATCTAAATTTAAAAAGTGCAAAGTAAATTTATCAGTCCACTAGTGCGACATTTTAATACATTAGGGCATAGAACAGTGTCGATGCATTCATGATCACATATCTCAAGAATTAAACAATCATTGACATCTGAATGTAAACAGAACAAGGTATATACCTCTTTACTAAACGAATTCGAAGTCTGTACTGTAAGTTATGGGTCTAGTTCTATCAGTTTTATGGCCGAAGGGCGAATTCGAAGCCTACAGGCTATACACCCGAGCAGAAAAAACAAGATTCAGTAACTTTCAGTAAGCACCGAGAAAACGAGGTACGTAAGATATATTTATTGTATCTGTGGATTTAAACAGAGGGATAAGATTTCAATTCAAATAAACTTTTAAGCGGGCCATACAGTTATCACTTTGCATTTATCTTAAAAAGGCAGTTGATATCATTTATCGTTTGAGCAAATGCAAAATTGCTTGTACTAAGTAATTAATTCTCACCGTTACATGAAATCCCATCAGAATCAAGACTATAACCAGGTCTGCAGAAACACTCTGCTCCACTTCGAGTCTGTTTACAGATTTGGCTGCAATTTTTCAGCTTCAAGCAGTTTTCGTTTACTGCAAACAAAACAGTTCAACTTTACCACCACAAATAATGTCTTTATTGGAAGTTCTTTCTCAATTCTAACAATTCACAACTGTTACAATAGGTTATGTCAAGAAAAATATTGCGATTTGTCAGTGGCAACAAGATTAATTGCTTGCCAAAGCCCCTGGCCGAATAATTGATCCGCCAGACACAGCCAACAATTTAAACGAGAAAAACAGGGTTGATATCGCACCACTTCATTTCGAAAACTGAGGCAGAATACCTGGCATGGCGCTTCTAACCTTTTACAACTTAAAATCAGTATGCATATTCTCCATACTGTTCTCTATACATTTACTAAGGTGTTGACAGGGAGAATTTGTTTAATAATCAAGAGCTTCTTTAGTTGGTGATCATTTCCTGTATTCTCTGACTTAATTGCGTGATTCAGGGGCGATATTGTACGGAGAAATTAGCTGCTTGTCGCTCTTTGAGTTCAGGGCTAAAAGAAAAGCAGTCATAACAAGCTGAGCCTTAAGCTGATAGAAGAGTAATTTAGACAATTAACTTACGGCAATGTGGTCCTTCATCAGAATTATCACCACAATCATTATTTCCATCACACACTTTAGCTAAGTCCAAACAGTGAGATGTTCCAACACACTGCCATTGATTCGATGAACATGTCACAGGACCTGGCATTAGGGCACAAGATGTAATGATTGGTTTAGTTAAAAATTGTTGACGGGTCTACTGCCATTCGCAAATGATCTTTTGTGATGACTTTCTTCAGCGTTGTGATAATAGAGATGGCTCTTTAGTTGTTTTTTAAAATGGTACAGGGTTCTTAATTTTTTCAGAAACAAATTGCAAGGACTTTTTCAGGACTATGATTGATTTTTCCATGACTCAATTTCACCTTCAACCCTCTCATTCCTAAGATTTCAAAATCAATTCTCCTCACGATCTACATGTATTTCTTACAACGTAGATTCTAAAAACTTTATTCCTAGATTTAAGCAGATTTCCAGGACTTTCCAGGACCTTTAGTCTTTTCCCAGGACTTTCCAATCCTGGAAAATGTCACGATAAAATTTCAGGACTCTCTAGGTTTTCCAGGACACGTAAAAACCCTGATGGTACAATTTCCCTATCAGCATTCTCCAATCTTGGAAGTGAGAGCAAAATTTAGCTGCCAGAAGTGGCTGTATGCATACATAATCGTAATAATGACCCATAAAGCAGATATCCTTGGCTCATGATAAAACACTAGTCTTATACAAATACAGAATCAATAGGTGATAATTAAAAATTGATTACCGCAGTTTTGTTCATCAGAATTATCATCACAGTCTTTATCCCCATCACATTTCCAGTTGATATTTATGCATTTTCCATCAGAACATCTGAACTCAGTTGCCTCATCACAGGCATTTTGTGCTACAAATAGAAAATGCAAAGCAAAAA